TTTTTTTTTTTTTTTTTCTCCTGTAATGCTTCATAAATACTTTTTTCCAATTGATGAGTGGTACGATATGCTGTTCTCATCAAGTGGATCACTGAAAGCTGTGGAATAATGTGTTAATTTCTTCTTTTTATTTTGACTCCTTATGTCGTGTTATAGTACGGAACATAGGGTAAGGCTTAGTTTGAAATAACTCAGACACCTTGAGTTCATTTTTTCTTTAGCTGTGTTAGTATTATTTGACATTTTTAATGTCATAATCCAAATTTTGTATGCAACAGGTGGAGCCAGCAACCCTTGTTCCACTTGCCAATGGATGTAAGCAAGTATTCTTGGTATGCAGCCCTTTATCATCTTGCTCATATTTGAATCTACTGAATATAATAATAGTTAATTCTTCATTGTAGCCTTCTAACGTAGAGTGTCTACAATGATTCTGTTCGATTGTGGGCCGATTATTTTTTGTTTTATGAGTTGCAATAATGTATTGTGGGTTTTATTTTATCCGTCCATTAAGGTAGGGGATCCAGTTCAGTTGCCAGCCACAGTAATTTCTCCTGTTGCTGAAAAATATGGGTAAGAACATTTTTCACCCTCTAAGTGTTGATTTACCTCCAACTGCAATAATTTCTGGTTTAACCATTTGTTTTCTGGGACTTGATTTGTGAAGTAATAAGTTCGTTCTGGAAATTTTCCAGATACGGAATGAGCCTATTTAAAAGATTCCAGAGGGCTGGCTATCCAGTACAGATGCTGAAGACCCAATATCGGATGAATCCAGAGGTCCCTGAATATTTTTTTAATCTCTCTCTCTCTCTCTCTCTCTCTCTCTCTCTCTCTCTCTAATGAACTATTGAATTATGTTCTGCAGATTAGGAGCTTTCCTTCTAAGGAGTTTTATGATGAAGCATTAGAGGACGGTCCCGATGTTGAAAGTCAAACCAAACGGTCATGGCATAAATTCCGCTGCTTTGGGCCGTTTTGCTTTTTCGACATACATGAAGGGACTGAATCTCAACCATCGGGAAGTGGTTCTTGGGTGAATGTTGATGAGGTCGATTTTGTCCTCTCTATGTATGGTTCTTTGGTCAGCAGATATCCAGAGCTCAAGTCAAGCTCTCGACTCGCCATCATATCACCGTACAGACATCAAGTCAAACTCTTCAGAGAAAAATTCCGGAGCAATTTCGGTGTGGAGTCTGATAAAGTTGTAGACATCAACACTGTTGACGGGTTTCAGGTAGTTTTTTCTCGGATTTTTTGGGATGGCTTTATAGGGTGAGAGCTGTTAAATTAAACGAGCCTGGCTCGGCTAGGCTCGAGCTCATCTAAAGCTTGTTTGGTTAACGAGCTGAGCTCGGATCGGCTTGATAAGGATCAAAAATAGAAATTTTATATTATTTTCTATAGTTCGGCTTGTTAAAGCTCGAGATCGGCTCGTTAAGGATCGAACTCAGCTCGTTAGTAGTGATAAACGAGCCGAGCGGAGCGAGAATCGGCTCGTTAAGGGCTGAGCTCGGCTCGGCTCGTGACAGACCTAGGTGTGATCTTTCTTGGCCTGATATATTTAAACTATTGTATTTGTATTATGCCCGTCATGCATATAGCTATGTTTCGATTTGGTTATCGGATGATTACGAATACAACCCCTGAGGTTTTGGCTTGATTACAGAAAAATCCAGATAAGATGCATAATTACATCGAACCCCTCGAAGTTTTTTGATTCTGCCTTCAGTTCGAGCAGTACTATAATATTTTAAGAATAAAGAAGTGTTTTTATTGTATGTATTTTTTGCTTATGAATGGAAATATAAAATGGAGCCAAATCCTCCATGATCAATATGGAATGTAAAAACTTGGCAGGGACGTGAGAAGGATGTTGCTATTTTTTCATGTGTTCGAGCGAGTAAAGATAAAGGCATTGGCTTTGTTGCTGATTTTAGACGAATGAATGTTGGTATTACTAGGGCAAGGTCTTCTGTTCTGGTATGTATAATATTAAAAACACGTCCAAAAAAATGGATTTATGAATTCTCATGGCCTTTTAATCTCTCATAATATGGAATTTTCTTAATTCTAGGTCGTGGGTTCGGCAACAACTTTGAAACGAGACGATCACTGGAAGAACCTCATTGAAAGCGCCGAGAAGAGGAAAGTGTTGTTCAAGGTGCACATCCTCACTTACACTTGCAAATATTACAGAAAAAAGCCCAAATGAATTTCAATATTTAAAAAAAAAAAAAAAATGTGAATTCCCCACTCAATATTCGAAACATCCTGCAAAAACTGACCTTTACGGCTGTGTTTTGTAAGCGTGTAAGCTAGCTTATAGCTTCTTTGATTAGCTTATAAGCTTCCTGTATTCAAATAAGTTTGGTTTAGTAGGAAAAACTCGAACTTATCTCATAAGTTTCATTAAGTAGTTTTTCAAATAAGCTTATAGAAACTTTTATTTCAGCTAGCTTATCAGCTAATTTACCAAACATTTTTATTATATAAACTAGCTTTTCAGCCATAAGTCGTAAGCTATCAGCTATGAGCTCAAAATCACTTAAAAGCTATAAGCTAACTTATCAGCTAGGTTTACCAAACGTAGCCTACATCTACACGAATGTTTTAGTTTTTTGGTGGTATTCTTAAGAAACTTATCGTGGTCTTTTGGCGAATAATCCTAAACCTCAGGTTATTGTTGGTAACTATTTTGGTCTCGAATATCAGGTTTCAAAGCCATACTTGGAGTTTTTCAGTGAGGCAAACCTGAAAACAATGGAAGTAAAGGAAGATGGTAGTGTGGGGCCTAGTGATGATATGGATATGGACGTGCCTTTTAGTATCGATGCTAATGCCGTTGAGAATGTCGACTGGGGAGATGCTGGAGATGATGGTGATGATGGGGACTTTGGTGGTGATGACTAAATTTGCTTTTGCGGATGTGGGAAAAGACTGCAAATTTTGCTTCAATTGCCAAACCTTTTAACTACACTCGAGTCATTTTTTAACCACAAAATTGGTGTACATTGCATAGAACTTATAAGTTTTCTAAATTTTCTTGATAAGTTTGCGTATTGGGTTGAATTGGGAATTATTGTACTACCTCGAAAGTTTTATGTAATGTATACTAAAAGGAACTTGCTATCTATTCACCGAACACATTTTACCGTCCTTGTTCCTCACCTTAGCTCGTGTACATAATAATTTCAAAATTTTGCAGTTGTTTCAGAAAGATTCGACTCTGCACACAATTGCACTGCAGTTTCAGAATTTGATCAATGCACATATGCATACCTGCATAGGTTTGTGTTTATCTAACGGTGAAAGGTCCAATGATTGCATGCAGTTGCGTGGATCGCGATATCGGTACTTGTAAGGTCGTTTTGTTAGATAAAGTTACTCATTTGTAACCAAAAAAACGACGAAAGGTTGTGAACATACAAGTCCCTGATTTGTTACCAAATTGTAACATTATGTGCCAATTGCTAAACGAGATGCATTGATTTCCATTCTCTTTGCTATCTGCACTACATTTGTTTTAATTCTTAAATTTTGGCAGATGTTGCTTAAATAGTAAGATTAGGGGCATCAACAGTTCGTTACACCCACATTAAAAACATAAATTAAGGTTAAAAAAATCAAATTCCATGTGAGATCCAAAAGTCACAACTGCATCAACAAAGTAGCTTCAAATCACTGCTGTTTCTTGAGAAAAATTTGATCCTAAGGTGAGGGCACTGTCGAATTAAGCGTTTCTTGAGAGACAATTTTAATCATCATTATTAACTTCAAGAAAATCAACCCACAAGTGAAAAACTAATCACCCACCATAACTAAAATGCCCAAATTTCCCTCCGTACAACGATGTATTCGCCGAGCATGACAAGATACACAACTGTTCTTTACTGAGCCACAAACATGGTTATCAACTTAAACCATCAAATCGTTGGTCAAATACAGGGTTGATAGCATAATATTACATCTTATGTATACAATCTACTAACTTGTATAAGTTCATAGATCCTGGTAGCATCCAAAAAATTAGGTCGATTTCATGAAATGAAAAGGGTCAAAAAAAGATTCGAACTTTCACATAAATCTTGGTTTAATCCTTCGATTCGCAATTCTGCACCAAAAATTCGTATAATTCTTCGGCTACAACCTTAGGGTACTCCTCTTGAGGAAGCAAAGCGCCTTTAACCTCCACAAATTTGCTCACACCTTTTGCTCCCCTAAGAGCTTCCATTTCGGCTTTTGATCTTTTTGGTGCACTAGAAGTCGACACGACAAGTACCGGGACGTTTCGGTTTTTTCCTTGGAGATCAGAAAATAATTCCAAAAATTCCTCTCTGGAACTTACCGGGTCGAGCAAACCGGTCAAGAAAGCAGCAGGCACATAACGAGCGCCTTTCCTTTTGGTGAGCTCATATCGGCTCTCGATGATCTCACGCGTCACGTTTTCGGGGTCTGCATAGACGTGTGATTTGTACTGGGATTGGATTGCTTTCTCGTTGCTGACAAGGACATTATACATCATCCAGCCCAAGGCTGGGGCCCGCAAAGTGCCTCTTAGCAGGCCATACCTATGAATAAACAACGAGTGTGTGAATTGGGAAATTATTAAATTCTACAAGAACCAGTAAAA